TGGCGACCGGAAGTGCATAAGTCACGTGTCTGCAAAAGACCGATTGTGCTGGTCTTGGATGGGAAAATGTAACTAACATCTGTCTCCATAAAATTGACAAATTTTATTTTCATGTGTTACCTTTTTCATTTTATGTTTTACAAATGTAGCTGCAGCTCGGCGTTAGGAACCTTCAGTATAGTGAAATATAAAATGTTACCTACGAATATTTCTGTACAAAAATACTGATTTTTAAAGTTGCGTGTCTTTGTGAAAATAATAAAGAATGAGCCACACAAGAAACTAAATAGCTAAAACAACAATATAATGACTTTGCAGCAGAATATCAACAGTCTACATACCTGCGAACATTTGCTGATGGCAAAGAGGGACACCTAAATGTATTAGTGAGCTAATACATGGGCATGTTGTGGAGGAGGAGGGGTGAGCTAAGCAAATGATTTTTGTTATTAATAGTAGAAGTATTTAACATGCTTTGCTATGCAGCTATATTATTTTTTCATATTAGGAAATAATTATACCCATTTGTTTTAGTATAAGAAGGTTATACTTGTTTTATTTTCTCCATTTGTGGCACCCTCTGGATGGACAGAGCCTTTAGCATTTGCCTACACTGCCTACGCCTCAGGTCAACTCTGCCTTCAGGTCCAGGCTGCCTTTCAAAAAGAGATCGGTGATCTCAATGAGATTTTCCTGGTTAAATAAAGGTTAAATAGATAATAACAAAAAATTAAATTGTAACAAGGTGGTTTTTTTTCTTGCTGGTACCTCTAGTCTTACAGAAGGTTAACATAGTATTTTTAAGAAAACTCACTTTTTTAACATGTATTCACTTTTGGTTAAACCTTTTTTAGATAGCAAGGAAGAATGTAGACGGCTATGGACTACACATTTGATTTTTTTTTTTTTTTACTGGTAACCTTTCATAAAAACACTAATTAATCAGAATCTTGGTCTTCTGGTGGGATGGTGCTACTCACACTACAACAGAGACTAGAAGATGAAATTAGTTTACTACATTTACCAAATAATGTTTCTAACATAGCAGTAAAAGTATTGCCAATGCTTGAGTTACCGATATGTTCTTCACAAAAGGAAGTCACTCCTTATAATGTGCATGTGATGCGTTCATCTGGGGCTGTGTTGTTAGGAATGAAAGTGCAGCAGAAAGTTCTAAACATTTTACATACACCACACATTTAAGCTATTAACATGTCCAATGCTATTCTATTTTTGCCAGAGCATAAGGGAAGTAGATCCCAGTTCTAATATGGCTTTAACATCATCACAGGTGTAATTTATGGTTTTGTTGTTGTTGTTGTTGGTTGTACCATCATGATAAATATGCTAGTAATGTCTAAACATCCAAAGTTCCTGGGCTCCCAGGGAAGGAGGAAACATGAATAGGAATAGGAAGGGAAATGTGTCAAAACCAGAAGTACAGTAAAGTCAAGAAAATATTCATTTGTTGCAGAGTGACAGTATCTTTGAACATGCTTTGCTAATCAAGAAAAAGCATTAGCATATTTTTATGTCAGTTAATGTTCTGCAGCTGCCTAAGCTGTGATGAAAAATAGTCATGTAGGTAAATCTCACCATATTAGGGAAGATTTAAAAGATTAAATCAATTCAGCAGATTTTACACATTTGTGTACAGTTTTTTTCCCTAGTCTCTTATATTAGTATTATATTATCAAAACCTTATTCCTTTTTGCATTTTTACAGAAAGTGAATGAAGAGTAGAGGTCATAAACAGTGGACCAGGAAGTGGGAAAGATAAGGATGAAGTTTGGAATGCTTTCAAGAGGATGATGAAGGGGAAGGCCATAAGACCTGATGACATTCTAGTAGAGGTTTGGAAATGTGTAGGAGAGATGGCAGTGAGGTTTTTGACTCAGTTATTTAATGGCATTCAGCCTTCTCAATAACGTTTTGAGTAGGAGGCTAATGGCTCAGAGGCGGGAGCCAATTCCCAACATCAACTCATAGATGTTCTGTGCGGTGTAAATGTTGTAAATGTAAATGACCGCAGACTGTTTAAACACTGTTCACTGATGAAAATGTCTTGCCAGCATCACAGGCATGAAAAGAGTTATGAAGTCATAATCAGCAGCAGCTGTCAATTTTGTGGAGTGAGATACACATTTTCAAGAATCAAATAATTATTTCACAATGAATTTCTCTTTATTCATTATCTTGCAGCAGTCCCAGCTGCATGCATGCAGCTCACAAGCTTCACTTTGTTTCCTGTAACTACAGACAGGATTGTGAAATCTGATCGACATCAAAAGCATCGTTTGAATAATATGATTTTAACACTTTAACTGTATGACTATTCATGTTCCTTAGGGGGAAAAAAATCAACCACTTTATTTAACTGTTTTAAAATCCTATTTTAAAATATTTGTTCTACAAAAAAGCCACCGTAATTTCCAGACTATTGAGCACATCCGAATATAAGCCATTTTTAC